TTTCCCTTTGAGTTTGTTCTACAAAAATTGTCTCATACCAAATTTGATAAAATATTTGTGATTACAAATCGCTTTTACTTTATTTTACTTTTACATTCAAGTGATAAAGACCTATGTCTGATAGACATAGTGACACAATGCATACAATTTGGAGAAATAAAATATATTTTCTATAATTACTTTAGTTGAAGCTTAAGTCAATACAAATAAGATGTTATGAAACTCATTAAAGGCTCTCGGAAAGCATATGTGATGCTTCCAAATGAGACAAAATTGCTTATAAATGACACTCTATACTCCAACAAATTGCAGAGAGACTTATTAAACTTCAAAGATATATGTCAAAATGGTTATCACATAGAAATCATTAATAAAACTGAAAATGAATATCTTTATCTTACGACAAATAACTTTGGCACTAAGGATATTTATGGAAAGTTGTGGTATGACCGTTCAGATCACCCAAACCATGTAATAATGCATAAAATTATTAAAAGTTCACTTGGACACTCGTTAAAGAATAATGTTGTCACTTGGACACTCATAAAAAGTGATTCTCTTTGTAAGACTCATTCTCTTGGCAAAATGGTCATGAGACCCTCTATGAACAAAATTGCAACTCTATTGCCTACATTTTTAAAAACGATTCAAGGATATTTTGTGGGCAGATAGTCCTATCATGTGGACCATTTAGATATTTTATGGAGTCAATTGATGATTCAACATGTTGATCACATATTAGTCTTTTATCGACGAAAACTTTAGCATTTGCTAAACTCTTTAATCAAATTCACGACTTGATAATGTAGAAAAATTTACATACCAATTACTTAACGATTATTGCATGTCGATTGGGGTTGCTGCGAAACACCCTGTTGCTCATGTCCAAACACAAAATTATCTCGTTGAATCATTGATTAAATGACTACAACTAATCGCTAGTTCACTACCATCATTAATGAAGTGTGACTTACCCTTTATCAGCCTGGTGACATGTTATTTTGCATGCACTAAATTTAGTTAGACTTAGACCAAAGTATAGGACATGTTATAAATCCTATATTTTTATAGATCCTTTGTATTTTGTATATAATTTTTGACTATCAGAAACAATCTCTCCACACTTTAGTACAAGAGTAAGATTATGTACATCTGACCTCCCTAACCTGATCGTAGGTGGGAGCCTTTGCGACACCGGAGTAATGATAATGATGATGATATAATTTCTGACTAAAATATATTATTGGTCAAAGTTTAACTTGATTGATCAAAAACATCAAATATGATAAAATTTTAAGAGATGGAGGGATTATAAATATATTTTTAAACTTTATAATATAGAAGATTTTGTATTTAGTATTTCATTAATCACTTTAGATCTTCCATTTAAGAGTTTTTATTTAATGTTTTTATATTTTAGCATTTAATAGGTTTTAAAGTTCTACATATTGAATATAAATCGAAATATAAGCATAACAAAACACAAGTCATATAACGTACTTCGAGAAAATGATAAAAAGTAAGTTATGATGTGATTGAAACTAATTTATTAGTACAAAGTAAAATATCAATACATCTTTTTCCATCTTTTATATAATACAAATTGTATTATATTATATTTTAAATAATACAAATTTGGATAAGTTTTAATTTTCATCTTTTTTACACATATCCTTATTTTAATTTACACCACTTATTATTAGTACTTCTAATATGTAATATGTCATTCAAAATATATATTAGAGAATGTTCCTTCATTGCAAATACATTTATATATTCAAATCATTAATTTTTTGTGTTTACTTGTTCAAAAATGATGAATACTGATTTCAAAGTATACGAGTCAATGATATATTATATTTAAAATAGAGGCTACCAATGGAACCATTCTCTTTTTCTCTATTACTTGCTCCCAACTCCCTATTCTTTCTTGGCAATTGTATTTGTTCTGTTTTCCCTGTTCGGAAAATATTATTTATTTTACCAAAATATACCAAAATACCTTAATTTATCGTGTTTTCGAATTTTCCACATTTTCCCTGTCATATACTTTCTTTGGTTTCTCTAGTTGTAACACTCAAAATTTGATATTTGTCGATGCACAAGTTTGACCATTAACATGTTTCATTTTTTATTAATAATTTTTATTTTAAAAATAATTTTTGAAAATTCAAAATGAGAGGAATTTACAACATTATTAAAAAATCTAATTTACACGGTGTTGAGATTTATTTTTTTAACTCCAAAGGCCCAACACCTTCCTTTGAGTTTCATAAGACTTGTAGTGGACTGAGGGTATTAAATGGCACAAGCAAATGGTAATAGAAGAGAAAGACTGCAGGTGAGTTAGTTCCTATTAAGTGATAATAATGAACAATTACAACACACCCTACTGGATCCAAGCCGATCATCTAGTATGAGCTGATAATACAAGTGAATAACTGCTATTGCTAGTGAATGCAAGTTGTCAACCCCTAACTATGAAATAAATGTTCTACTTGTACCACCAAGGGGTAGGTTGTAGTGATGATGTGGAGGATTGTGAGTGACTAGCTTCTCAACCACCAAATCTGTTGCATTAAATGTGGTTCCCGTCAATATCTTGTTTTCCCGCCAATATGCCACGATCGATCGTCTTCGAGCTCCCCGGTTCTGGATACAGGCAAGCACAAGGCCAGACATGTCGCTCGGGCCATACCGAGCGTCTATATTGAGGCCTGCCACTGTCTGCTTTGGCCCCAACTGGCCAAGGGCGCTGAAGACGAGCATCATGATACTAAGACGAACGTCGGGCATCTTTTTGTGGGCCGTTACTCGATCCCTGCCTCCTTACGGGGTATTGGACCGATTACCCCAACACACGGGGTACTACATAATACTTTAATACATATAACATATTCAAAGTAAAACTTGTCAATAGTACAAAATTCACAATTGTTACTGTTAATCGAAATTTTGACTGTGCACCTCACTTTTTCGCGTGATATTGAACTTTGCATCTAATTTATTTCAAAAAACTTTGATTTTGCACCACATCATATAATATTTTGTGAAGAATTGATTTTGAATAAAAGTGCAAAGTCATACTAGGGGTGAGCATTCGATCGGTCGGTGAAATAACCGATCGATAACCGAATAACCGACCAAATTTTTTAACGCTAATAACCGACCGAAACCGACCGATAACATCACAATAACTGACCGAAAAACCGTTGTTCGGTTTTGACCGGTAACCGAATAACTGACAATAACCGACCATATAAATTTTTTAAGCATATCTTTTCCAAAAAATTGAATGCTTTAAATAAAAATATTAGAAAAAGTTTTTCATACAAAAATGGATGAAAATAATTGATTTTTACACTACAAAACAAAATGAATGAAACAATTGATCATATATAAAACGCCTTTTCTCCATTCATGAAATAAACAAGAAGAAATGAAATAAATCATCTCATAAAAAATAGTTTTCTTACGCTGCTCGTAGTTTATCTTGTGCGCGAGTGTCATTTTATCTCTTTTGGGTTAACCACTGAATACTAAATCCATGAGATTTATTAAAATATGAGGGCTTTCCTTAAATATTACAGAGTACTAGATACTAAAGTAAACTAAAATATGACCAAAGTTAACATGAGTATACCATTCATGATATGTTTGTATCCACAATATTAATTTTGGTCATATATTTGACATTATTTCTTAGAGTAATTATGGATATGTTATTAAGTGAAACATCATAGCATAAATGAAGTACATACAAACGTTTATACGGAGTAGACTATAATTCAGTTTTCGGTTAACCGACCGATAACCGATTAAAATAACCGACCTTTAACCGAATAACCGAATAACCGACTTCTTTGAATACCCCCTCCGGTCCTAAATAAAGTTCAGTGTTTGACTTCACACAAATTAAGGAAATAAATTTGACTTTACTGTAAAGTACACTGTGGTGACAATGCTTGACACTGTTTTGCACTGTTTTGTCATACTACCTCCGTCCCAAAAAACTTTGTCATTTAATAAAATTTGAAGCTTAATTTTGATCAGTATAATATTATGGAAATTAAAATTTTTATACTTTTATGAAAGTACTTTAACAAATAACATTATCATATAATTTTTATATTTTAAATAATTTCCAATAAAAACATAGAGAGGCCGTTTGGCAACCCTCATTTTCGGCTTATCAGGCTTATCAACCAACTTTTTTACCAAACACGTAAATTTTGCTTTCGCACGCTGAATTGTGTAATAAGCTGAAAAAGTAAGGTTGAAGTTACTTTTCTGACTGTATTGGCTGAAGTTACTGTAGATGACCATTTTAGCTATTTTTACATATAATTTTTTCTTTATTTTATTAATAAAATATATTTTAAAAATATTTTTTTCTTGTATCAGCAGAATTTCATAAATTTCAGCAGAATCAGCCAGAACAGCCGATTTTCGTGCTGCCAAACGGGCTCAGAGTTGATCAAAGTTTTGAAAATGACAAAATTTTTTGGGAGGGAAGTAGTATGATTTTAAAGAAAATGGATTGCAAAGTCATTTTTTTAATAATGGAACACAAGGTCCAACATTAATATTCCCTTCTACCTTTGAAATGAATGAATGTAAAATTGTAGTCTTATTTTCTAGAGTCTCGCTTCGTGTACATGTCGGGTTACACGCTGGGTTACATCCTGGTCAAATTGTCTGTATACAAACAATTTGATCATCTAGACAGACAATTAGACCGATGTTTTATGAAGAAAACCGATTTCCATATAGACAAAATATAAAGAGTTGTCTGTATCACAAACAATTTAGACCTGATTTTTTCATAAAGTGTCTATGATACAGACATTTTTTTCTGTGTGAAAATCAATTTTCTTTGTAAATCGTCACTCAATATGTTTGTGTAACCAATCAAATTGTCCTTACATAGACAATTTGAAAAGCGTGTAATTTCATCTTGGCTTGGCTTGTACAAAAGGAATTTTCCTATTTGCTATCCTCTAATTTCATCTAAAAAATGCCAAGTTTCCTCATGAAGTTATGTGCCATATTTGCAACTTTTTCCTAGTTTTAATTTTTAAATCTGCAGTGTTCGACTGTTCGGTGCATCCCATAATACGTGCACCTTCATCTTTCTATATCCCTCGGTAAAGGTGACATAGCAGCGGCCGCAGGAACCGTAGCAGAGGGCAACTAGAGAGAGAGAGAGAGCAGTGTGTGTACCGAGGTGAAGCTCGTTTACTGTGCAGACTAGACTTGGGTTTGGGTGAATCGGGAGAGAAAGGGAAATGGTGGACTTGGGTCGGGTGCAGAAGGAGCTGCAAGAGTGCAACAGAAACGTGCAGGTTTCCGGCATACAAGTCACTCCGAGCGGCGATAGCTTAACCCATCTCAACGGCATCATTCCTGGACCTGTCGGTACTCCCTACGAAGGGGGCATTTTCAAGATCGACATAATTCTGCCTGGTATTCTCAATTTCTTCTGATTCTAATTCTGTATCCACTCGAGCATCCTCCCTTTCTTTCCAGTACAAGTATTGATATCTGAAGAAAGTAGTGTTTCCTTCATGGTTGATCTTTGACAAGGTTCTCTAGGGTTTTGCGAAGTTATAGCCTGTAGTGGTGTGTGCATACGTGTTTCTACGGAATGGTATAACATATACATGAATTCATGTTAAATTGTTAATTAATCTTTTGTACTTGTAATTAACTATGTAGCATCTTTTGATAAATTCTTCTTTTGAGACGTGATTGAGTTGCTAATCATGTGCATTTTAATTTACAAGGCGTTTTTTTGCTAACTTACCATGACATGCTTTCAAAAAAAAAACTTACCAGGACTGGACTAAGCATCTAGTCCTGACTTCTGTATGCTTGTCTTTGATATTGCATTGAGTGGTTATGGAGTGTAAATGAATAGGATTTGTTTATGTTCTCCTTAGTCCTTAAGGGTAACAATCGGTAACAATGTGCTACAGTTTTCCTTTAAACTTTAAATTATAGTGATCATTTCATAGGGGATTTGGCTTTATGAGGCTATGTACCTGTAATTTATCTATGCCCGAAGGGTATAACCGTATAAGTATATAACAGATAAGCCATTTAAAGCGGAGGGAAGTTAAGTGGAAGTGCAAAAATAGTAAATGCAATTTGAGTGTTTCCTTAATTCCTTGTCAGTTTCTTATTTTCTTTACTTTTTTTCTTGCAGATGGGTACCCATTTGAACCTCCAAAGATGAAATTTACCACAAAAGTCTGGTATGGTGAATTACTTTTTCTGTTGTATAATCTAATTTGTGCAGTTAATTTCGTTGCATGTAGTAGAATCATAACAGATCCTAATGGATCCATGCTATCTGAATCTTAAGCTTTGTCAAAACTTTGAATTTAATTTTAGAGATTTTTGGAATTTAATGCTTCAAAAATGTCAATCTTGTGATAGATTTAGCTACCATTCATGGAAAATTTAATGTGAGCTCTTTATTAAATACCCTGTAGTATTTATCATGGAAATTAATGAAACATAAAAATGGACATGAAGTACATTTCTTAATGTGAAATGGTAATTAATAAAATGTTATAAAGGCATCGAACATGCGCTGTGGCACGCAAGGAACACATTCCATTGATCAAATGGTGTCCCCAACTTTGCAAAAGTCTCCCAGTTGTGCCCCCTCTCTGAATTTTTTCATTTAGATTGGGGTAAAATCACATTTTGTATCTTTCCATCAAGTTTACTATTGTTCCTTTACTCACTGAGTGAGTGGAGGCACTACACTACTAGAAAATAAAATTACACACACACACATATAACTTAGATTCTCATTTTATGGGTGGTTTCATGTTTGGGACTTGACGGACTTCTAGACTTTTTAACATCCATTATTTACTATCATACTACGTAGTATTACTTAGAATGATACTTGTTTGTCATGCTTATCATTAGTTGGTATTTGGTATTTAGACTACTCTCTTTCTAAATTACTTTTTGCCTTCACCTATCCTAAGACACACTAATGCTCTGCTTTTCCAAGGCAATATGCCTCATGCCTTGATACTTGAATTAGCATTTTATGCATTGATGATATTGCAATTCAATAACAACGCATTATTGATTTTTTATAGCAAGAGTAACTCTGTAATGAGCTATTAATGTAACCGAAGATGTTTATTTTCTTCAAATACATTCATGTCTCATGGACAGTACTTGGCATTTATTATCTGACATCCCAACTTCAAATAATAACTCAGTAATAAGACATGAATGTAATTGAAGGATAAATGCCAAGTACTATATTAAAGATAGTACAAGACCCGATAAACTCTCACAAGAGCCTGAAGTAACTCTCCAGCAGGTCAAACATTTGACCATTAGCTATGTTGATATCTTCTCAAAGTTACTGCCAGCCTTCTTCTAAGTGGATCATTATTTAATGTTTATAAACATCCATGAGGATATATACTACTTAATGCACTTAATTGACTTAATCAAATATATAACAAGCAATATGATAATGGTTGAATCGTGTCATGGGATAGTGAATGATGATGTTTGTTGTATTGGATTTTTCTAATACAGTACAACATCTGTGTGCTTTACGTAAGGCACAGTATGAAAATGTTGTAAACTAAAAGGTGTTCTCCATCTAAAAAACCTGTTGACCAACTTAGAACCTTTTAGTTTTGTTAAGGCACACCTATTGTAAATTTTACTTTTACTTTTGAGAAATTCATTTGCTCAATGAGTTCTAACAAATTCCATGAGAAATTGGTTTTTGTATGACCGGCAGCTTCATTATACCCTAAAAGGATATCGCTTCAAATCATGTTTCATTGCTTCCGGCTTTTGTGGAGCTGGAAAATCATTCCCATGAAATCATGAATATATTGCAGTACTCCTTGAATATTTTTTATCATACATCCACAATTCACGATGATTGATTCCTTTAATTTCCATTCCTTTCAAATTGGTTGCTAATTTGCTATCATCAACACATCACACATAGAAATGACAAGATACATCTCATGCCTGAGATATTGATTGGTAGTTGGTGCTACATTGCTCTCGCTGTCACACTTGCTGCTCTTGAAGACTGGAACAGTAGTCTTTAAATTATCCATAACTTTACTGTATGGCTGATACAGTGTTTATATGATAACATGCATAAATCATGAAATTGCATATTACTCTTATAGTGTAAGGGCTTAAGTTCTACATGTGCTGTCTAGCCACATTGATACAACATCCTTTTTTGATCCGTCCTATTTTTTACTATCGCAAAATAAACTCCACTTCACAAAAATAAAAACAAGAGTCTTTCCTCAATGCACTCTTACTATCCTTTACCTGTTTAAACTCTTGAGTTGTTCTCCCTGTTTGAGGGACAGTTGTAATATACATCACATTCTTTATGTTTTCATCTAAACTGTCCATAAAGTAATTGTCCCTTTTATTTTGAGATGGAGAGTGGTATCTTATTTTAATGCTTCGAGTTCAGCCATCAATCTTGTGAAAGATTACTTTGATATGGATTGCCTTATTTCAGTTTAAAAAAATTGGTAGTGATTCATGAGAGTCTAAAAGGTTTGGGATTGTCTTCACTTAGTCATGATTTGGTTTCATGCACGCCATCTTCTTTTGTTTTGTGTTTTTTTCGTTCATTCAATACTTCCTCAGATTTTTTTGCAAGTTCATGTATCAGTTGTGTATTTCCTTTTTAGAAACATGAAGAAAGTGAATTTATATTTGTGTCCTCCAGACTCCACTTGTTGAGCTGATAAGATCTACCAGAACAACATGTGCTTTTCTTTTACACTTTTTGGTCTTTTAAGTTTTAACCTGTCATGTGAAACAGTCATTTTGTATAATATAGAGATTGGGGATTGACAAGCAACATGCTTATTATTATAGGGGCCAAGGGGGTCTTCATGAATTCTATGTTTTTTATATCAAATTTGTTATATTTTTGGTCATTCGTGTCTGTATTAGCGCATTCAAAATAATACAATGCAGTTGCTATTCAGTTTTTTAAATGTAGTATTGAGTTTATTATTCACTTTCATATTAAAGTATGATAGTAAAAAGTTCTCCACAAGTTTCAGAAATAATTTATTTATGATCTGTACAATTGATTGCCTTTTGAAGGCACCCCAATATAAGCAGTCAAAGTGGAGCAATATGCCTAGACATCCTGAAAGACCAGTGGAGCCCAGCACTTACTCTAAAGACTGCGCTCCTTTCTATACAAGCACTGCTCTCTGCTCCTGAACCAGATGATCCACAGGATGCAGTGGTTGCAGAACAGGTTAGAGCTTGTAGTTGTTGTATTCCTCTAGAGTCTTCTTGGTTATCAGCCTCTTACCGCACTTGGTTATTTTCTGCTGTGGCTTTCTGCAAAGCTGAACATATATATGTATATATAGAGAGTTGTTAAAATGACCACCCAATCCTGAAACGATCTCTTTTCTAGCCACACTGATCCTTAGGTTTTCCATGTGCAGTATCTGAGAGATCACAACACCTTTCTTGGCACTGCTCGGTACTGGACAGATGCTTTTGCCAAACCCTCTCTCGGACTTGATGAAAAGGTACAGAGACTTGTGGAGATGGGGTTCCCTGAAGCCCAGGTTAGGAGGACTCTGGAACTTGTAGATGGAGATGAAAACTCCGCTCTTGAAAGGCTTTGCTCGGGCTAGTTCCTTTACTGCTGCTAGATATGCAACCTAGATGTGGGGGGATAGAAACAAAAAACAAAAATAGAGAGAAAAGTGTCCGTTGAATATTGTAAGCGTTTGTGGCCTTTGGGTCTTAAATTATGTAATCTTTTGCCCTTCCCCTCTCCTGACACCGATCTTATATCACCAATATCATATCATAGTCTAACAAAGCGTTCATTTTTCAGGTAGCATCTATTATGATTTGGTGTTCGTTTACACTTTAAGGCCGCATTTGGTAGCATTCATTTGCAGATTTTGTTGATTAGTCAGAATAAGTAGAATAAGTAGCATCCGACTTACATGCTGCTGTTGGGTTTACTAGACGTTTTTTCCTGACAGAAAATTAAGTAGATTCTATATTCTACCATTTGAGAGAATTACCAATTACCAAATGGGCTCTAAGCCTATATATCTTTGAAAGATAAAAATCAGACTAGTTTTTATTTTTCCAACATGTGATTAACTATTTAGTTAATATACTTTTTAAATTTTAGTTCCTACGTAGCTACGGTCACCATGAATCTATACTATGATGTCTTTGAATTAAGTAACAATTTTAAATGAGGTTGTTAATTATGTTAGTGGATAAAATTATAAAATTTTCCCAACTAAGATGTCGTTTGGTAACACTGTTTGTTGGCTTATCAGGCTTATTAGTCAACTTTTTCACCAAACACGTAACTTTTGTTTTCTCCCGTCGAATTGTGTAATAATAAGACAAAGTAAGGTTGAAGTTACTTTTCTGATTGTATTGGCTGAAGTTACTGTAGATGACCATTTTAGCTTTTTACATATAATTTTTTCTTTATTTTATTAATAACATATATTAAAAAAATGATTTTTTCTTAAATGAGCAGAATCAACTAATGAAGCCACTTCAGTCAGAACTTCATAATTTTCAGCAAAATCAGCTGAGCCAGCCGATTTTTGTGTTACCAAACGAGTTCTAAGATGGGTTTGTCCGATTATTAATTTCCTAACATGTCATTGCGATAGTCGGTTTTTTTTAATGAAAATATAAAAAAATGTTTTCCGACAGCAACTGTTTTTAGCGACAATAGCCGGTAGATGCAGCTAGGATGTCTAGTTGAGTAAGAGTTAGAATAAAAGAAAAGTATATTAATTAATTAAAAGTTAATCACATTTTACAAAAAATGAAAATTGATCATATTTATGTCTTTGAAGAGTATATATGAACTTTTTTTTGTCATTTTTCCTAAAATAAAATGACAGGGGATTGAACTTGGTAATGAATTGAAATTCAAGGATCAAAGCTAACCAAATTAATAGTCTAAGACTAAATTAGGTATTGACACAATACTCCGGGACTATTTCATGTATTAATTAATTCTTCCAATATTCAAGTGAATGTGGTGACTATCACCGGGTAAAGTTTAAAATGACAATGAAAAGTAATGTGCGGCTGTCAAATAAGTTTGTCTGCATATGTATGATGAATGATTGATGATGCCTTTTGTGTAAATTATATATAATGGAGTATTATTCTAAATATTTCAAATACAACTTCAATGTACTTAAAATTACTTGTATTATTTAAAATGTACCGAATATTCTTTTGGATTAGTTTTATGGTTTAGTTTACTCGATTGTATTCAGTTTGATCTGGGTTGATGGCATGTGAATCTTATTTTTTTATAATTTACGTAATGGTGTAATATATTATTTTGGATTAATTTTTAGAAATGCAACCATGAGTTCAAACAAAACTTACCAAATCTTTCTTTGGTTTTTTTAGTATAGTCTCTTATCTCGATGACCGATAGATGGTCTTGAGCTCAGCCTCCGCGGTCCCAAGTCGGGCCACCCGGATCCAGTCCATCCCCAACGTAAATGTTGATACCCTAAACTATATGACAATATGTATGCAATACATTTATATAGTGTTGGGATATATTATCTCGATTTGTTACTGTTCAGGAGCTCAAGGAATCACCCCAGTACGGAGCCCGAATGACGAGGCTCATTTCAACCTATCAGGCCTGTTTCGGCCCTTTTGGCCCATTTCGGCTCATCTGGCCCGTTAGGGTGGCCTTGCACCTATCCCCGGCCCTCCTCCTTATAAACAGGAGGCTTCCCCTCCATGGTACAGGGGTGTCTTCTTCTTCCCCATGCTTTTTTATCTCTAGACTAGCTCAAAATACTCCATTAATGGGGGCTCAACTTATACATTGTAATGGTGAGGAGAAATGAATGAGAATGAGAGAGGGCTTGGACATTAGCCTAAAAAGTCATGTGGTTTTCTTCCTTTCAGGTTTCCACGCAAAGATCGAGAGTTCATACAAATTTATATCTATATTTATTATATCGTGTTGAATTTAAACCCAACATACATCTAAGTCATCAATATACTAAAGCATACCAACATATTGACTTTGATACACACACATGTATTGTCATTCTTTACTCGTTAAAATGTTACCATTTTAGCATCGATAAATTAGTAAAAACTCGTAATGTACTTGAGAGATTTCCAACGCTTCTGTATGATCCGGTTTTAAGGTTGGAACTATTTGGTACCATTTTGTTGGTATGGTACGATGTCAAATAAACGCTATTTTTATCAAATCTTGCAATTGGTAGATTCCATCATATCGGTTAGTTCACATGAAATGTTGATAAAGACATAAAATTAAAGCATATTAAATTCATAAGGAAGAATATAGCAAAATAATGATATACCAACTAAATAGACATAATATTCATTAAATTCATGTGAAAACTTAAAAAAAGTATCATTAAATTGTTGGATATTAGTTCTAAAACATTCTTATACCGTAGGAGTTAAGATTTAAATCATATAATTAAGTTTCAAAACTACACAAATATGATACAACAAATAGTCATATACACTACATTACTGGAAGTTAATAGTGATTAATTATTTTTTAAAATTTAGCATTTTTTCAATCTATACAAAATGTAACATAAGTTATTTAAAAAGAATGAATTACAAAATTTATATAAGCACATACATTTAGCTATTTTAAGGACGAATGAGATCATAATTGAGCTATAAAGTTGTTGGTCTGGACAAGAGATTTATTGAGTTGGAAAAAATATAAAAATATAAAATGCATTACTTTTTAACGGTTTAATTTGGTATTATTTGATTCTCAAAATCTGGAACCGGATCCAAATCTGTTTCAAATGACACAATTTCCATTCGGAATGAAAATTTAAAGTACCATTTAAATACCCGATATTCAATTGAATAACATTACCAGTTCCATACGGGTTGGGTTATTATGCCCAACTCGGATTTCATATATATTTTGAGCGAATTTCATTATCTTTTTAAGAAGCATTACAAGAATAGAAGATACATTTTAAACATTTAAATTAATTATTATACCAACTCATAAACTCATACTCCCTTCGTTCCGAAATTAACTTTCCACTTGGATTTCACACATATTAAGGAAACAAATTTACAAGAGGTAAACTATACTGTTTCAACATTATTTGACATTGTATTGCACTATTTTGATGTAGATTTGTTTTCAAATAAGAAATTGAGAAGTTAATTTCGGGACTACCCGAAAAGGAAAGTGAGAAGTTAATTTCGGGACGGACGAATTATAAATAAGGACATAAAAAAACTTAATTGTTAAAGGAAATTATTTGTAGTGTGCTGTCATTATAGATAGAGTATTCACTAATATATTATGTACTGAGCTAATGGGCCTGAGAGGCCCAACCCTTGTATAAACCGAACTCTCCTCTATTTAAAGAGGGTTTACCTGTTGGAATAATACATCACTCACTTCCCACAACACGTTATCAGCATTTAGCCCTAAATCTATTTTCAACGCCTCCCTCCTCCAAATCGCTGCAGCAGCCCGCAGCCTACCTCCTCCAAATCACCGCAGCAGTCCGACCAGCCGTCCAGCCAAGCCGCAGCACCACAACCAGCCAAAAGACGCCACCGCTGTCTGCCCACGGTCAATTTCCGTTACTGTTCATTGAGGTAAATTTTCATCCTAAATTGAAATCTTAATTTCAGTGTTCATTGACCTAGTTGGCTAATTCGAGATTTAATTCATCGAGATGCAATTTTTTGATTATAATTCTGTAATATGTTATAATCATATAGTTGGAATCAATATCATACTATGCATCCTCTTTCCATGTATACATACATGTGATCATATTTTTCCGTAAAGCTATATGGCATATACGTATAGTTGGAATCAAAGATCACACGAATTAACTCTATTTTCATGTACTTTATATGATTATACTTTCTGTAAAGCTATATGTTAAATACATATTGTTGGAATCAAGATCATATTATGCATTTATTTTATTTTATACATATTATGTGATTATATTCTTCAGTAATGCTATATGTCACTTACATATAGTTGGAATCATAATCAAGTAAAATTACTACATTAAATACTCAAATAAACATATTAGACATTACATATACGTAACAGAAATTTCACAATTTTTGTTACGTAATAGTGTTTAAAAATCACTTCTATATTAAACATTTTTTAAGACTATATCTGGTGTGTGTGATTCCTTGTATGTTTAATATACGTAACAACGTTTAAAAATGAAAAGTGCGAATTTTCATTCAAAATTTATTAACATATAAAAATATCCTTCTAAATATATCATAATACTAAATAATCAATGAAAGCAATTTTTTTAACTCTATTTAGAAAATCGCCAACTTTAAATGAATATATATGACAAATCTTGACTTTATTATTCCATTTTTAGATGCACATTTATTATTCATAACATACAATTGACACATGCATACACCTACCGCATAATAAAATAATACATGTGTATATATATGGTTGACTCATATACCTGCCTTTTCTTTAATTTATACTTCTAGACTATATTTTCATGTCATTTTTTTAAAATTGCAAGTTTACGTTTAACATAGTTCACGAAAAAACAACCTGCCATTTGTTCACACCAATAAAATTATTTTTAACAAAATATGAAGAAAATTTATATGTTTGTAACTTTTAGATAATCCCATATGATTCCCAAAATTAATAAAAAAAACAAAAAAAAAACACACACAATAATTTTTTTCCCGGTAATCCGCATATACGAGGCAATATTTTTTAAATATATGCACATTACATTACTAATATGAAATTACATTCGTTTTTACAAAAAAAATCAAAATATAACTCCATTTATTTAAATTCGAAATATTTTTTTAAAAGGAAAAATTCGACAATTAATTTAATTTTTTTAGCTCCATTTTTTATAATTAAAATATACAACAAAATTTTATTCTTCCTTCAATAATTCGAAATATATATCATATTAAAAGAATTGTTAGATTCGTTTTTTATCAATAATTTCTTTTTATGCCTAATCCATTCTTTGGACCAATATTAATACTTCCTATGTTAAACACACCATATACCACCCTATAAAAATCTCTATGATTTTTTTAAGGAGATGAATATATATCTCCTCTCTTCAATGCATTATAAAATAT